TTCTCTCATTTTTCATTTTGAACTCGATTTTTTGGCATCCTACTTCATCAACAACTCTACTAAGAGGGTTTGGACGTCTCCTATATATTCCCTATAAATATTAGGTTCTTCTATATAATTTTATAAATGTGAGAAAATAAATTACTAGAATTATAGGATCTATTGTAATTTTTTATCTTCTCTATTATTCTTAATCAATAAAACCTCTTAATTCATCTTCCATATTTTTGTCTTTATTATTATTTTGCTTGATCATATATTTCATTATTATTTTCCATATAATTTCAACATTTCAATCCGATGATTTATTTCACAACACTAATAATTATAAAGCCAGGTAGCATGATGCATTATTTACAACAATCACACCCAGAGAAGGTAGCTAATTTACCTTGTAATTCCAGAGGGAATTGAAAACGAAATACATCTAAATGAGCATGCTGCCAAAGGGTAGCCATCCTCCCATCAATGATGAAAATTTTAAATTAACCGATTATTTAGACCTAACGTGCGGAATTACACAATTAAAAACAAGAAGTCATTTTTTAATTGTTTCAGATGATTAATCAATCACATCAATTTATCATATGTTGAATTATTGCAATTAATAATTAAAGCGATAAAGAACGCAAGATTTGTTGATAGAGAAAATCCTTTACATGATTAAAAACTCTGAAACTAAGTCAGTAACTTCCACTATAGACAATAAAAACTTACAGTAAGTATAGAAAACCCATAAGACTCGTTGATCTAATCCATACAATCTCCAAGGTACATACTGGAACGTACTTCACTCACAACTACTCTTGATTTCTGGAATTCCCTATCTCCCGTGGATCGCCGAACACCTTGTTTTTGTACTTTTCCTACGCTTCTAGTCCAATCTCTTTCAATTTTCAGCAACCTCTGAAAGTTAATGAGAAAGTACATTTCTGATTATATTTAAAAAGTGTGTATGTAGAATTATATGATTTTGATATTTTTTCGAACTTGTGGTTGATTGATCTCAAGATGTAGAATTGTTAGATGATCTCCATAGGAAGTTATGAAGGTAGAAAATAATGATCGACTCCCATTTTCACAAAGTAGGGCTTGGGTATTTATAATATGGAGGGATCGGGGAATATAGAATAGATAAAAACTATTGAAAATCACGAACTATGGTTTCTCGAAAAATATCGTCGCTCGAGCGTCAAGCTAGCGACAAGCGGGCGACTTGGGTTATGTTTTGGACACTCAAGCATCAGCTTGGTGACAAGCTGGTGTAAATCCGATAACTCTTTTTTCATGTTTCATACTCGAATCCAAAAACTCATAATTCATCTATACGACACCTCAAAAAGAATCATTGACTTTTACAAATCTTTTATAATAATGATTTTGTCTAAAAAATTGTTGATACAACTTAAGGGCGTGCCTCCGAACACTGCATTAACTTCACAATTTGGGCATTCATTGGAACGTAGTTAAAAATTTATTCTTTTGAGGTGCCGTACTAATGATTGTGGCAGTGGCGGTAACGATGGAAGATGCCGGTGGTGATGGATTTGGTTATGGCGGGTGGGGATGGGGCAATTTGCAAATTCAGTCTGAACTTTTCAAAATCTGCAAGTCAGTCCCTGTATTTTCTATGTTCAGCAAATCGCTCTCAGAGCTATTCAGGTCTTGTAAGCTAGATCCTTTCGCAATTGTAGTAGTAGTCCTTGATTTTGCAGCTATTCAAAATCTGAATGTATAACAATTAAGACAACCCAGAATTGGTAATTTAATAACACTCAAGTACACATCAGCAAAAAAGTCCATCAAAATTTTGGATGAAATTTTTTCTG